ACTTTAGATTTGATTTTTCTAGATAAAGTAAAAGCTAAAATAATTATAGTACTTAGTAGGAATTAAATATAATCCATGTAGGTTCNTTATAGTACTTAGTAGGAATTAAATATAATCCATGTAGGTTCGACACTTTAACTTTATTACTATATTATAAAACTTGACACCGTACGCTTGCGGCTTAAATCACGTCATAGAAAACGAGTGACATGTGCTTTGTTTACGACCAATTTATAAGGTTGGTACTTTGTACTAGAAGGATGTAGTGTTGTTTTGTTCAGTATTCGAGTTTGCGATTTGTCTTTATCGTGGAAATAGTTAAATGTGATACTAGTATATTTGGAGTGTATTGAATAAACCACATGTCGAATTTAATTCTATAGCATGACTACATGGAGAATTAAATATCACTTGATCGTCGAGTTTCTCATCTAAATTCCTGTACAAAGTTGTGTATGAGCATGTTTGAGCCCCATTTTCTTGACAAAAATACATTTTAAAATAGTGATTTGATGGAGAATGTGGTTAAAAATAGAAAAAAAAAATTAGTTTTGTGTGTAATATTATTTTATTGAACAATGTGATTGAAAATAAGAGAAAAATGTATTTTGTATATATGGAGATCAAACAAGGGCTAATATATATTTCATGACTTCTAGTGATTTTTTAGCTTACCATTGGATGGGATCAATTCAATTAATCTAATATTTCGGTAAGTTGAGAACTTGAAAATGTGTAAAGTGGAGCACGAATTCGTTTCAGGAATAGTAGACCCGAAAAAAGGGTAGAGTTACTATTGAAGTGTTTTATATTGAATAATTATAAATTTGAGCTCAATGTTTAGTAATGACTAAAATTTACTATTGAAAAAAATGACACTTAAATGAGAAATTTGAGGGACAAAATGGTCATTTGATATCGTACCTAATTATTGGATTTCCCATGAAGATAAAATATATATATGGTAGGTCAGATGAAAGTATTACATATATATAAATATGGTAGGGACAAAATGGTCATTTAATGACCACACATGCAATTTAACCAATGGAAAGAGAATTTGACATGAACTTGAAGATTTATTTTTTCTCTATAAATATACTACATAGGGCCAAATTCTATCACAAGAAAGAGAAATTTTTTAAAATAATTGTTGATATTTTCTGATATGATCTGGGACAGGCAATACATAAAATATACGAGTTTCCTTTTTCGCGAGTTTCCTTA